GGACCAGATCGCCCTAGCTGTTTCAGATTCAGAGATTGACGAGCACATGAACGAAAGAGATGGCCGGCCGGAGCCACGAGCAAGGAAACTAGACACAGAAAAAAGAAATCGAAGAAGGGAATTGTTTGGTGGGGGGGGGGTTACGCAACAAAATTGTTTCACGTGTGATGAGACTCAAATTTCAAAAAATAGAAAACCCTTCAATACGATGTCGGATGAAGATAATTTTTATATGTAAATTGTAGACCTCGATGAGATCTACAACTTTGTAGTTTTGAGTTTTTTCATTTGAGGACAGTAAGATGCTCAAAAAAATAATATAAAATTTTAGCACCATATTTTATCGCGTGATGAGACTCAAATTTCAAAAAATAGAAAACCCTTCAATACGATGTCGGATGAAGATAATTTTTATATGTAAATTGTAGACCTCGATGAGATCTACAACTTTGTAGTTTTGAGTTTTTTCATTTGAGGACGTTAAGATGCTCGAAAAAATAATATAAAATTTCGGCGCTACCGAAAATATCAAAAGTTACTGTTCACCCGCAAAACCGCTCAAAAGGATGAAAGTTGAACTTTTTCGAGAGTTGTAGGACTAAAGTTGTCCGGTTTTGAAGTTTGAGGTTGAAATCCAAACTTTGCTGCAAGTTGGAGGGTGTAAATTGAACTTAACCCTTGTTTAGAGATAGATGTGCTTTTTGTTTTGTCGCGAGCAGGCATCTCCCTGTCTGACAGGCGCAGTCATCGGCCGGTATGCATCGGACTCCGTGCTCGGATCCCTGCATGCAGCATGCTGCAACACCCAACCCAACAGCTCTGCCGGCCGGAGTACTAGGCTTCCAATTGGTCTCGATGTACTGTTGCTTCCTTTTTTGACTCGTTTACGTGTATTTTATTTCAGGGAAAGCTAGGAGGATTGGAGAGCCTAGCTAGACCACGAGGCTAAGGGAATGTTTACTTGAATTGATTGGTCTCTAAAATATATATTCAGGATTCACAGCGCTCATGGAATTAGCATTAGAGCAAGGTCAGTAATGAAGCCAAATTGCTTAGCTATAAGCCAATTACAAGAGCTAAGTTAAACAATAAGTGTCTCTTATTTGTTTGAAAAAAATCTCTTTCCTATTCCTCTCACAACACTTGTACCTGGGTCCACTAATGCATATGCATCCGTGCCTAGCTTGGTGCTTGCATAGGAGCCAAGCTGTCATCTCTCTCCTCTCCTCCATGTCAGCATTAGCACCTATGCAAGCAGCTACTCATGCATTGCTCTGTTTCTTGTGAAGCTCATGTGAATTCCTGCCAAATGCTAAAAAATGAAGTGGCGCACAATGTCAATATACTAGAGTGTTTTCTTTTCCATGCTTTGATCAGTCAGAGTGAAGTGAATGGCTCGAATCTTGGTGATACAAACCTGTCAATGCAAACGAGCAGCAGAGGCACAGCACTGTGCAAGTGCAAGTACCCAAGGCAGCAGCAGCAAGCAGTACAGTACAAGAAAGCATGTGCACCTGAGTTAGCAAACTTCTAGCCTACAGCTTTTGTCAGCACATTGTCCCTTCCAACACATCTGCTAGCTGCTGCTGCTGATGCCGTTGTCATCATTGTGTGTGATCCGTGTACTGTAGGTGGATAGGCCGGGGTCGGTGTGGGCCCGGGGGAGGAGCAGGCCCGGGTAGGGCTCATCTCTCTTTCTCTTTCTTTGATGTGATATCGTCTTGCATAGGCTTGGTTGGGCCAGCTCGCTTTATTCCCTCACACCTCCTACACACAACCCCTCCCGGACAGGGGAAGAGAGGTGGCTAGGCTGCATTGGAGTTTGCAAAAGCAGATCTCTCAAAGCACACAGATTCCCTCTGATGGCGACTGCAGCTGCATCACTCACCGCATGTTTTATTAACACATAATGATCTTTGCTTGATAGTAATCAAATTTAGTTGCATCGATCGATTTTATATATCTTTGTCAAACTTCTAGTGAATTATATATATGTGCCACCATAAAAACATGCATATATATGCTCACAGAAGAGAGACTTGGCAACTCATCACATATGTATACTTCATCTAACAGCAGCTGAAAAGGTGCTTCCATTCAAGCAATGATGTTAATTCTTGTTGTTTATGCAAGCAAAATCATCCATCTTTGCATCTGATGATCTCCTACCAAAGTAAGTGATGATTCTGTTGAGCCATCCCTGCCTGTCTACACCAAGCATACATACCTTTGCAAATACCAATTAGGGCCCAGTCAGTCCAGTGTAGTACTACACACACACGTCGGTCAGTACGTAATGATCGAGCAGCTACCTCTACCTGATTGGTGCGAGATCCGATCGACGCCATCATCATCATTTGATGCCAAAAGCAATATTCCTCAATCTATCGGCTGACCTCATCGAGTGGCCGGAATTTCATGCATGTCCCTTCCTTGATCCCGTCGACCATGCCACTTGTTTTTTTCTATACATATATATACATTCAAGGAGTAGTACTATATAATATGTATATATGCAACTTCTTTTCGAGTATATGCATCTTCTTTTCGAGTTTGGACTACCAGCTGTTCGTCACCGGCAGCAAGCACTGACATTGACTGCTTTTGCACTGGTAGTTTATGTGCAGTTTTTTACATTCTAGAGAGACTGCTGTGCATGAAAATGCATGTCGTCCTCTCAGCTCGATCAGACCAAAATCAAATGGAAGTACTACTTGTTCTACAGTATTAGCTTATCCATTAATATACTGGTGAATGTACCAGCATTATCTGAAGAGTAAGACATGCAAATCTTGGCAGCACACTCCCCACATAAAGTGTTCCCATGTCTCATGCATTCTCTATGTGATTGTGGTCTCTCTTCTCTCTCTAGCTTTCTCTCTCGATCGTTTACACACACACACTATCTCTCTGACTAGAAAAGGGTAATTGGTTCTTGCTTTCTATAGGCACAGCAAGTGGCAGAGGGATCATGCAGCCTTATTAGCTAGTACTAATAAGATGCCATTCCTGACGATCTGCATGTCGTCTCTGATGGATTATATTGTTTAATCTGATTGGATTGAGAAGTGAGATCACAGTAGTAGTCATCATCACCAACATCAAGAAAGGATTACAGGGAACATAGATAACTGCACAGCGAAGATCACGAGGAACTGGAGGGGCATCATAGCTAGTTTATTGGGATCTTAGGCATAAGCATTAATTAGCTGCTAATCATGTGATCCGCAGCTACATACCACCTGCTGTTGGAACAGACGATTGTGTGTACTCCCTCCATGTCCCTAAAGCTAGGAAGTCGTTTTGGATATAGACACGGTCTCCAAAAACAACTTTGGCCGCTATTTTTTGCTATAAAATATAGTCAATATATACTTTTATAAAACTACATTTCGAGATGAATCTACCTACATCACTATCATTTTTCATAATTTAACATAAATAATTTCTTTGTAGTCAAAGTTTAAAATGTTTGACTTAAGACAACCTCAAAACGATTTCTTTTAGGAACATGGAGGAAGTAGTAGGCAATAGCAACTCGACCAGAGTACCTTAATTAGCCAGATCATTGGAGGCACTCTACTACTTGTATATGTATACTAGCAAGAGAATCTAGAATGCTAGTATATGGCCAAATATTCAAACTAAAAATAGGAATGATCTTTGATGGATTCTGCACAAAACACAATGATGGGTAGTTAACTTAGTGGTGTAACCTTAAATTTATTTGTTTCACTATAGTTTATTTTTTAAAAAAATAAGGTTGCAGATGAGTGCAAGGTTTATTCCACACTATAACCTTTTGTAAAAACATCTTTATTGGAAAAATAAAACCTTTTGTAAAACATCATTACAATTGAAATTTTTAGTTTCTTTGTCATCTAAAATCTTGCTTGTTTAACTTCTCAATAACTTTGCATGAGCTGGCTATTCAAAAAATATCTTTTGGCTTAACACCGAATCAATTGTGAATAGATCATTTGTCTCTGATTGGTGAGAAAATCTAGATTTACTAGTTTCCATGTTCAATTTTTCTCGGGAGAGCAGAACGATAGTACCATACGGGAATCCCATTCTAAGAGCTAGATTAACATTTGAAAATATAATCAAATTAAGACTGAATTAAGTTTGATGAAAATGGTATATGAGTTGAAACAGCCAAATTCTCAAACTTGAATGTGAGGAAATACTCATTCATGTTCATAAAAATTATCGGACTTAAGGGAATTCATGAGTTTCAAGAGGTGGAAGAACAAATTTCATCAAATTGACCACTGAGCAGACTTAGCCATATTTACCCATTCATTAACGTTCCACACCAAGCTTAGGGCCTATTTGGATGATGCAGTTTCACAAAAAATGTGGTATTATAAAACTACGGTTTTATAAGCCAATGACACATAAAACCACGGTTTAGAAAAAAGAGGTCATAAGAGAAGTTTCTAAAACTCCAAAAGACTATAGTTTTGACAAAAATATGGTATTATAAAATACGAGGTTTGTTGTATCCAAACATCCAGTAGCTTTCGAATCCAATACTCCAGAAATACTTTGCATCCAAATGGGGCCTTAGCCATTCATTAACTTTTCGACAACATTTCAATCATATTGGAACATCCAAACACACATCTGAAATTTAGAGCTCGATTGTACTAGTACAACTATGCCCACCAAGTTCTCATGTAATTAAACATAGTATAGTTAAGTAACCTGACACATATCACCTCCATGAGTTAACACATGCACTTCCCACTACATGCAAAACTATCAACTACATGACATTAACCAGCTTGAAACTCATAAGAAAAAAACATGTAAAAACCCCAACACAAGATCGATCACCAGCCTAATTGAAGAAGACGACTCCAATTAAGTTCCAAACCACATAAACTCTATAACTAATTGAGTAGGGTGAGCTAGTTCAGCTTCATCAGCATCCATCCATGCATGCATGACCCCCATCATGCATCCTCAGCTGGACCTGGACGGCCACATGCAACTCACAACACATTCCCCGACGACGACGAGCTGAACCCCGAAAAGAACTCCGCCGGCCACCCACTGCCACCGCCGGTGCTGCCGGGCCAGTACGACTGCTCATGGTACGCTGCGACGGCACCTCCGCCGTTGCTGCTGTGCTCCTCCATCTTCACCGCCGCGAGCTGCGCGAGCAGCCCCGAGGCGACGACGCCCCTCGGGAACCCGTCTGCGAGGACGCCGGTGCCGTCGTCGGCGAAATGGTAGCCGTGCAGGCCAGCCTGCTGCAGGAACTGCGGATGCATCTGGAGCGGGAGGTAGTGGTGGTAGCCCTCCAGCGAGGCCTCCAGCGCGGCGGCAGCCGCTGCGGGCGGGAGGCCGAGGTGGGGCAGCTGCGCTTGCATGCTGGCGATGGCCTCGGCCGCCGCCATGGCCGCGCTCGTGGTGGTGGCGGTGGTGGTGGTGGCCGTGGTGGAGGTGGAGGTGGTGGAGGACGACGAGGTGGCCGCCGTGGCGCCCGCGCCGCCGCCCTGGCCGCCGCGGGACGACTTCTTGCTGGAGCGCTTGGTGTTGCGCCTGCACCCGCCGCCGACGGGCACGCTGCGGAGCGCGCCGCCGCGGGTCCAGTAGCGGCGGCACGCCTTGCAGAAGTGGCGCGGCTGCGAGAGCGAGTAGTTGTTGAAGTAGCAGAACTTGGTGTTGGTGGAGTCGCAGCGCGGGCAGCGGAGCGTGCCGGGCTCCGGGAGCGGCACGCGCGCGAGCCGTGCGCGCTCCGCCATCGACACGACGGGGCGAGGCTGCGCCGCCCCCTCCCCCGCTCCCGCCACGGTCTGCACCGAGGTGGACGAGCCGCCTCCCGCCGGAGCGCTCGCCGCTGTGTCAGCGGGACCTCCAGGAAGCGGCGCCAGGCCGGACGGCGGAGGCATGAGGTGGTGGTGGTCGCTGCCACCGCCGCCACCGAGGAGACACTGGAGTGGTGGCTGCTGCTGCTGCATCTGCATCTGTACGTGTGTATGTATAGCGAATCAATTAATAAAGACTGGAATTCAAAGCACGGTATATTCAAGAACATGCCTAGATAGAATGATGCCCTTCTTTTTGTGTCTAAGGCTCTAAGCTCAATCAGACATGAACAAAGGCAGTAAACAAACTTGTGAATTGCAAATTTGCGATCAATCAACAAAGGTTTGAAGTTCATATTGGAAAAAACTAGGATTCATCCTCCAATAAGAAGAAGGAAACAGAGACAAAGAAACCAGTTCCTCATGCTTGTGCACACATATATGATGAAATTGAAAGCAAGGAAGAGTAATAGGATAAAACAATTACCTGGCCCCAACTGGGAGGGTCTAGGAAGATCGGGAGTGAGGAGAACACCATGATGATCTTGATCGATGCGGCACGCACCGGTGGCGAAGAACTAGTGGCCCTCTTTCGTTCCTTTCACTGACCGTGACTTTGTGAGGGAGAACGAAGGAGAAGAACTGTGTGAGGAGATGGAAACCACAACTTTCCTTTGCCCTGCCTTTTATAACTTATGTGGCCTTCCTTAGCTGCTAAGAGAGAACGATCGAGCTGGACGGAGCTACCTGCAGCTAAGAACAGTGCTCCAAGACAGCAAGAGACAGTAGAGATAGATAGAGAGAGAGAGAGAGAGAGAGAGAGAGAGAGAGAGAGAGGCAGAGAGGGTGCTGATGAGGATAGCTAGAGAGAGAGAGAGAGCTACTAGTGGGGATGGCTGGATGGATGTGTCATGGGTCATGAGAGAGAGCAAAAGGTGATGGCTCAAAAAAGGAGATGGCCATGGCAAACCCTAGGTAGCAGCTAACAGTAGGACAGAGAGAGAAGAATGGAGAGCTCAATCAGTGTGCAGCTAGGAGGGGAGGAGGAGGAGGAGGAGGAGACATGGACGGCGCCACCAGAGAAAGCGGAGGAGGCCGGGCTCCAGTACGCAATGGAAAATGGGGATCGATCGGACGCGAGGAGGCGAGATGAGAAGGCCCCTCTGCTGGTGCTGCTGCCACGTATTTATACACCACCAAAAAGCCAAAATAAAGCGAAAGCGAGCTGGTCTGCTCTTGGTGCCTGCCTGACTGCCTGAGCTTGGCGACCCAAGTGTTCGTTCGCTGGGGCGCACACCGAGCTGGTAGAATTATTTTTGTGTTCTTATATACGTGTACGGACGCGTACTCATCTGCTTAATTACGTATTATATATGCAGAATGGGTTTGGTTAGTCATGCAAAGGATAGTGAATTGGGATAGCTTACATGTTATACTGATGAGCAGTGACTGAGACGATGCGAACGTGACGGATATTTTCGATATCCACCTGTCTCGAAAGGGTTTAAATACTAAACCATATACGTCAAATAGTGTTTTATATATTTTTATATATATGCCAAGTGTTTTTTATACTCGGCAAATAAAAAATATAAAACTTTGCCGAAAGTGCCCGGATCTAGGACATGGGTTTGGGAAAGAAGGAGAAGTTAGTCATGCAAAGTGATCTAGGAATTGGAAAGAAAATAGAAAAAAAGGACAAGAAAAAATAAAAATATAGTGCCCAGATCTAGGCTTGCAAAGGAAAAAATATTTTTAACCCAGGCCCCAGCTGACGCCCCTCCCGCCCCCGTCTTGACGATGCAAGAAGTGCCCGCCCTCCCTTCTTCCCCGGCGCCGGCCGCCTCCCTCCCTTCTTCCCCACCCCTCCCTCTCTCCTCCTCTCTCTTTCCCGATATCCATCTCTCTTCTCGGAAAGGGCTCCCTCCTCCCTCCTTTAAATACTAAACCCCCCTCCCTCCGGCGCCCCCTCCTCCTCCCTCTCCAAATCCCTCCTCCCTCTCCAAATCGGCGCCCCCTCCTGAATACTCCCTCTCCACGGATCGCGCGGCCCGCCTCCTCCTCCCTCTCCGCCAGCACCCCCTCCTCCTCCCTCTCTTGATCCGGCGTGGCCCCACCCTCCTCCCTCTCCCAGATCCGCGGCCTCCCTCCTCTCCTCCCTCTCCAACAGCCCGCCCTCCCCACCTCCCTCTATCGGAATAGATATCCCGCCCCCTCTCTAGAATACGACGGGCGTGGTGGTGGTGGCGGGCGTGGCTGTGCATGCCTAGGCGTGGTGGCACGGGCGTGGTGGTGGTGCGGCATGGTGGGGCCCTATCCCGGCATGGTGGCGGCAAGACATGGCGTGGTGGTGGTGCGGCGTGGGGCCCTTGCGTGGTGGCGCGGCGTGATGGTGGTGGTGGCAGGTGCCACCTGTCGGTGTTGGTAATATCCAGAAACACTCGCAAACTATATAACAAGCGAGTGTCGTTTTTGTCGAGTGTTTTGAGCAAGTGCTCCCGGCAAAGTCGATAGTGAACATTGGGCCATATAATCCATCCAAATTTGAATACTTAGAGATTTATAGAACATATATGTCAAATAGATATTAATATTCGATGCATCTAACACTATGTATAGTAAAGAACAATTGGAGTATTGGTAATATCCATTCATATCCGAATATAGCTAGAAAGGAGTCTAGTAATATATGGTAAGAGATTTTACTATCGCAAATACTATTTTAGATTGTATAGTAAGATTGGAGTCCTCACTCCATCTTGAAATATGAAAGGATCAACAATATCTAGAGGGGGATGAATAGACTGATTTGAAAAAATTCTTAAACTCAAAGCATTGATATCAATAAAATCAAAACCTCTGAAGATTATATCACAACTTCCGATCTTGATCGGAAGTTCGGATGTAATATTCCTAACTTCCAATTTTCAGAGAAAGAGCTAAACCACTCGAAATTCAACCTAGATTTTAGATCGCCTAATTATCACACTTCCTTGAGGTTTGGTGAAGGTGCTGGTGCCCTTCATTTGACTAGAAACTTCACCAATAGATAGATCAAAACCAAACCCTAGGATGAAGCTTGAGAGAGGTAGAAACAAAACAAACCATAACTAATAAAGCAATCATAACAACAACAAGCACGCGATACACAATAATTTATCCTGAGGTTTGGCCAAACCACAGGAATGCCTACGAACTTATTGTTGAGGTGAACAAAAAGGTCGGGGTCTATTTCACCTCCTATCGTCTCTCAAGTGACCACAAGGTTTAACTTGAACTTTCTACTAGATCGAAACGAGTAGTACAAACCTCCCGGTGCTCGCTCGCCACAAGACTTGGTAGCTCCCGGAGAATGCCTAGCTAGCAAGGGACAAAGCCCAAAAGTAAAAAACACGAACCGCACTAACTTGGTGAAAACAATCTAGTTCACAAGACTGAATCTCAACTTTTCTAGCAATTTCTCTTTGCTCCTTGCAAGATCTAGCTTGGGAAGCAAAGGGGAGAAGGGATAGGACTTTGAATGCCCAAGAGTTTGTTTGTCTTAGGGTTGGTCATAATGAATGAAGTGGGTGATGGTTCGGAGGAGAGAGGATTCATATTTTTAGTCTACTCCTCCAACTACCATTTTCTACTAACATAAGAAGTTCCAACCAAATTATGATCAACTTTTGTTGGTCGGGACTTCTAACGCAAGGGCTAACTTGCGAAGTTTTGTGTAGAACACAGAACATCGGAACCTCCAATCCACATCGGAAACTTCCGATGGTTCGGAAGCCTGGGCCAAAGAACGCACTGACCGGGATTGCACGCACATCATCGAAACTTTCGATGCCCGTCAGAACTTTTGAAGATGCAAATGTTTCTAACCATACCCAACATGCACTTGTGGTGATTGCATATTTCTCAATTGATTTTAGTTTGTTATTGAGCACTTTATCTTCTCCAAGCCAAAGTGATTTGCATTCCTCTTTAGTGGCATTTCCTAAACTCAATTACAAAATATAAAACCACTCGAACCTTCATTAAGTCGAACTCCTTTTCCCTTTAGGCATTGAGGGCTAACATTTCATAATTCATTATCAAGAGGACTAACACATGCATATGATTCTCATCAACTCGGCTATTTCCTAAATTGCTTTGTCATTAATACACCAAAACGTACCCACATAGGGGGCAAATGCACTTACAAAATATCTTGAATTTTAGGTTGTTTAAGTCAAGTTATCATAAGTTGGACTGAGTTTTTCAAAAAAAAGTATTAACACACATCAAAGAGGTAAATTCTAAAATACATTTCATAATGTATCTAGTGAAACCCATTTGGTATTGTAAATATTATTATTCTTTTCTATAAACTTGATCAAACTTATGATGGTCTAACATAGGACAACAAAAAAATCCTTATATCTCATGATCGAGAGAGTATGTATTTGGTGCCGGGTTAGAGGTCGGGTTTCATTCTTTAGTTTATGGTCAACTATTGTTTTGCTATTTTTTCTTCAATATTGAGCTTGAATTACTTACCTTGCCCTAACCCATGCTGCCTACAAAATTCAGGTCTAGGATTGGCCCCTCTTGATGTGCCTTCATGGAAAATGCTAAAGTTGTAATCAAGGATTACAATCCAAACAAAACATTTATGATCTACGTAGCGGTAGCATTGCGTGCAATTAAGTTGAAAAAAATTACGACATAGACATTAGGCTAGGGAAGTAGTCCATGATAGGAAACTAATGGTTTACATACCTTGCCAACGACCCTAAAATTATGATCAAAGAAATTTATCGACTGCTCATGCTGATGATAGCTCTTTGTGTAGGCATTGAGTGAAAGGATAATGGCAACAAAAGGGGTGCAATTGGGGCTCCCAAAATTTAAAGCAACAATCTTAATCTAGCAAAAAAAACACTTCACCCACTTACGTGTTTAGACCCTGAAACTAAGAAAGAACACACTAAAAATGGTCCCTAGGGTCATCACATTAAGCCAACTCAACACACTAACAAAGATATCCTTAGTTCTGAAAAGTAAAGACTTGAACTAAGAGCACACTACCATGGAAACAATCCTAGAGACACTCTAGAGATTATTGCACACACAAGAACAAAGCAAAATCAAGGCATGAATTAAATGCAATAAGTAAAGAGTGGGAAAGAGGTAACCAGATTTTCCCCGTGGTACCAAGGTGTTGGGACCCCCCCTAATTATGGCAAAACCGCCCGAAATAGCATGCTTTCGGAGGTGCTCGTTTTCCACCAGACACTAAGCACCCCGAAAACAAGCTACATCGGACGGTTCCGTCGAGCACACCCTAAGGGAAAACTCGAACAATCCACGTTTTCCCTCCAGGATCCACTAATAAGAACGAGTTTATAATACTTAGTGTACTTCATATATCAAGAGTTCTCAGAAATACATTATTATAATACTAAGTTCAGAGTGCGAAATTTAAACAACGGAATTGAAATAAACTGATAACGATAAGATACAAGGATCCGTCTGTGCCCACCAGAAGAATCCTCCACACAACAGCTACTC